CCTATGCCTTACATTTAATTGAGGCAAAGAATCTTACTGTACTAGAATCACTACTTTTAATCAACAAACTCTGTTAGACAAGGCTGTCACCCCACTGAATTTTCCTACACCGTTAAATGCCTCAAAGATTTCTGACCTTGTCATTTAAAAATTAATGTAATGTGAAACTAAAGTCAACTCTTTGCTTCCTCTCTGTCCCTGAAATAATCCAAAGGCGTGTTCACAAAACAAGTCTTATACTCTCTAACATACTAACCAGTTTAGCTTCAACTTCAGCACATTCTTTCTTCAGCTCCTCTTCTCTCTTCTTCAGCTGATCTTTGACAACTTGATGGTTTTTTTTCTCCTGTTCCAGAGCTGAATTCATATTATCTATTTTGCCCTGCAGCTCTAATTTCTGTTGAATCAATAGCTGTTTTGCATCTTTGAGATTTGCCACCTCCTGTTAGGATACAGAGCTCAAAGTTAAAGTAGCAACATTAAAAGTGTAAATGATTTAAATTCAAAACTACTGTAATTCTTTCCAAGGAGAGGACAGCAATAATTTTTAGTTTTATCACTGGAAGAAAGGATGATTTTATAGCACAAAGTATCAGTGATTTTCATGATCAAAGATTTTAAACTTATACCTACATTATGAACAACATTCAATTTTTAAAATAAGTTTAATGTGTGTTTCTACGAAAGTAGCGGAAGCTCTGTTGGAGTATTTTCTACAGTTCTTTGAAAAGATACGTCCATTGTCATTTTCTAGAGTCTGTTCTAAAATTTACTTCACATTGTTCTCTGGTTGCCATAACAAGGTTAAAAGCATCATAATGACAATGTAAAAACCAAACACTGATGGAAGAAAGCTAGTTTCTATTAGTCTTAAAAGTATAATTACCCTACATTTTAAGCAAGTAGGATGATACATTTGGTTTTTAATATTAGTTTTACTTGTTCTTCTGTAATAAAACACAAAAAATCCTGAAGCAGAATAGTTAGTTAAATTTATAGGAATCATTTTCCTTAAAATTACACAGCCAAGCATGCAGGTACTAACAGACTAATAGGGGCAGCCAGTTTTCCATAAATCAACATTCACGTCACAAATTAAAACCAAACCAAAGACAGTGAAAGAACATGTCCTGAGGACAAGGGGATGCCCTATATATGCGTATCTATCCATTCCTTGGTAGGAGATGGGAAACAGAGCATAAGCCTTTAGGAGACAATTTCTATTTTAGTTT